GCCCTTCCTTGATAATGGACTGTAAAGTGGAATAAAGCCTGTCTTCCCCAAGGTGCTTTTGGTTACGTCTTTAACCCAGCAACAGAGAAACAAACCAGAACAGTGGCCTTACTGTTTCTGTGAGACCAAATTCCCAGCACCCCCAGCTCTGCTGCCAGTGCTCACCTTCCGCTGGGCACTGCTGCCCTTCTTTGTCCTTCTAATGAAATCCATTCTTCCCTTCAAGTGCTGGTCAAACTCTCCCTGGGTCATGTCCCCCTTCTCCATCAGGATGTGCGGCATATGGGGCTCTGCACAGATGAGATCAACTCTCAGCACTTGCCTGGGTGTGAGGGGCACACCAGGGACTGTGACTTAGGGGCAAGGTCTTCCTGGGGGTGGGCCAGGGCAATGTTCCTTAGCTGAGCAAGCCTAGAGGCCATGAACAATGTACCACCACCTTTCCATGGACCTCAGTTTACCCATCTGTAAAATGGATTGGAACTGGGCTAATTGCCTGTGGGATCTTTTTTTCAGAGTCTGACATTTTGCTAATTCTTGAGGAGGCAACAGATGGTTTCCTGAGGGTACAGACTGCCAGGGTGTCCTAGCACTACTGCTCAGCCAGCTGAGGGGCAGATGAGACTTGGGCCTAGGAACTTGACTCTGTCAGAGGCAAGTTTCCCTAGGGGCAAGTCACTGGTCTCTTTCTCTGTGTGCCACACACCCCCAACCTTCGCTGGCTAGATTCCTTCCATTAGGGTAGCCAGGCCCTATGTGGGGCACCATACCACTGGGGTGGATGAGGATTTCCACTGGCCGATCGAAGGTGTGCTTGTTGGCTAACGTGATGATGATGCTCTTGGCCGAATGTGCAGATGGAGCAGCATCTGCGCGGATCTCATGGGTGGGACTCTCCACTCCTGAGCAGCACAGAAAGACAGGACAAGGGGGAGACAGATTCAGGAGCATGAGAAAGAGCCCTGGGGTTGGTGGGACATCAGACCTGGGCCAGAGATGACTGACATCTCCTGCCTTGCTGTGTGATGACAGATGCCCTCCTCAGCTTCCCCATTCTGTAGATTGTATCATAGATGAATGGTGTCCAGTGGTTCTTCCTTTTCTGACCACAGGATGTGGCAGGGTCAGGGGCTGTTTGTTCTTAGGGCTCTCAGTGTACCCCAAATTCTGCTAGGCAGATAGAAAGAGCTTAATGCTCTGTGGGTGGTCACCATTTAGTGAAGCGTCTTGCATTGGAAGAAACACTCACTGATCAGAAACCCACTGCCTGTGTCCTTTGAAATCCTAAGCAGGCTGGGAAGAGACACATCCAAAGGTCGGTTCTCAACCCTGACTGCATGTTGGAATTACCCAGGGAATTTTACAATGTTCCATACACAGGACACACTCCAGGATCTCTGAGGTGCTGGCCAGGCTGCAGGAGGTTTGAACATTACGTGAAAGCCAGAACTCAGCTTTCTAGCTGTGGCCTTCTGGAGGGAACCCAGAGCTACCAAACCCAGGAAAGCCACCAGTGGAGCTGGGATAACCTTGACAGATGTCTTATCTTTGGTCATCTGGCCACCCAGCTCTCAGTGTTTCAGCTTGTGTTCTATCTGGGCTAGTCAGCCTCCCTGCCCTCCTTTCCATCTTGAGTAGCTTTGTGCCTGCAGCCCTTTCTCCCCTGGGCTCCTTTGGGTCTCTCCTTGTCTGGGAAGCTCCCTCTTACCTGCAAGGAGACATGGCCCACGGATCTCCAGCTGGAAGTTGAAGTCATACTCCATTGGGTTGGTCACGTCAGTGTCCAGGAGAGTGGCCAGGCAGAGTTTGTTCCAGGAGTCCAGGGCCTGGGTGCCGAAGCAGTGTGGGTCTTTGCTGGGAAGAGGCATGGAAGAAGAGGGGGGGAAGGAAGAGGAGGAAGATGAGGAGGAAGAGGAGGAGGAGGAGGAGGAGTAAGAGGAAGAGGAGGAGGGGACCCAGGCAGCAGTAAGCCAGTAATGAGACCAAGAAAAAGCTCTGAGTCCCAAACAGCTTAGCCTCCTCTTGTCCCAGACCTCTGCTGTCCCATTTTACCCAACTCCAGAGAAGACTTGAATGTAAAGAGTAGGTACAGCTACTTCAGGGGAGCTCTTGCAATGGGCTGAGCTCCAGGCATGGGTTCCCAGTGCCTTCATCCTTCTTGCCACCAACCCAGGAGGATGGCATTAGTGTTCCACTTCTCACTTGGGGATCTGAGACCCAGCAAGCAGAGGTGACTCACCCAAGGGCTCACAGCTAGAGTTTGGCAGAGCTGGCATCCTGGCCTGAGTTTGCCTGTTTCTACAGTGAAATGGCATGCATTGTGTCACACTGCCTTGTTTCTATGGACTGTT